GAAACTTAACCATCTTTGATTAATGAGCTAATCAAGTAGAGGCATACTAGGGACACTTTGTTTTGTCTATGTATCCACACATGTATCAAGTTTCCGGTTAATACAATTCTAGCATGAATAGTAAACATTTATCATGATATAAGAAAATATAAATAACAATTTTATTATTGCCTCTAGGGCATATTTCCTTCATTTATTTCACGTATTTGCCAGATAGATTTAGAACATTTTTTACACTGAGATATTTAATAATTTCTGAATAAGCGTGTGCCTGTCACATACATATTCTAGAGTATGTATGTAAGTGTGATTTAAGTACATGTGTGATTGGTATAGTAGACGCATATAAGCGTTGTGATAGTGTGCGTGGTGATTTTTGGATGAGAAAAAATAGTCCACATACTTACATGCATGTATGCAGAACATACTTACCTTAGTGTCTCACAAATGCATGGGTAATTTCGTCAGTACGCTTTGTAGAAAAAAATTGGCAGATCACGATCAGGTTTCCCTTCCCTTTTATATCTGCAGTTTTAATTTTCAAGTGAAGAGGGACAGACCAAACGGAGCACGTCTCAGCTTTCCTTTCGCTTTTTTTAAGCAAACGAAGAATATGACTACAGTTTGTTTTCATTAATGAATAAAGGAGAGACCAAAGGGAGGACGACTGGCATAGGGGAGTATGTCTCCTGTTTCATCCAATGGCTATAAATGAACTATATATTAATTGGACGGATGTAATTTCTTACTTTTTAGGATTAACTTGGTGTCTTGTATGGTGCTTACAATTAGTAAATATATAAGATATGGAGCAATAGCTACAAAAACAATGCATATGGTTCTTCAATACATTGATAGTTAGGAGGAAGTTGTGGATTGTGTACTGCAAGATTCAGTCGATAAGCTTTTCATGACATCATGCTTGAGGTGGTGGGAAGCAAACGTGGTTTAATGTCTGAAAGATATTTAAATATTTCAAACATTTTAAAGATATCATTAATATATATGTGTAGTATACAACTCTAATTTGAAATGCACGTATTGACTTTTGAGCAAAATCGTTTCTTCAATCGGTTAGACATGGCAACTAAGGGAAATATTATACGGAAATTATGCACATATTTCCTTTAATTAAACATGTCTTAATATTTTTGCTTTAACGTGTAATTTCGTTTTCTTATAATTCGACTAGTGCATCCCCTGCTATGCAAGACATTATGTCCTAGAAAACCTCTATTTCGATGACCTGGATAAGGTGGATAAGGTAGTTTCATTTTCTAGGCTACGTTCTACAATCATATAGGTCACGATATTTTGCTTGTGCAAATTGGAGAGGACTATCCAAGGCTTACAAGCATAAAGTTCGATATTGGCATCGTTCAACAATATGATCCAATCACCTTTCCTGAATATGATCAAGACCTTTTGGCAGATCTAGACATGATTACAAATTTTCCTCCGTGTCAGTTCCCTAAACAAATTTGTTAAATAATTTATATAGATTATTTAAAAATAGTTGTTATTCACCCCTAACGTAACTTGTTTATTTAACATTCACAGCTTATTGTCTATATCCTAGAAAAACACAAAATATAGTAGATGAGACCTATTACACTATTGGCTCATAGCTTACTTGAGAGGAGAAGAATTATCTTGTCTCCATTGTTAATGTTGTCTAGTCGTTTAAGTGCACTAGTCCACACGATACGTGCCACTAGTCCACAAGTTGAGTGATACTAACATTCAGAGAAGATGCATGGTAAGATTGTTTACTATTCTGTCACTAGTTCATCTGTTTCATACATTCTTCATAATTGCCTGTTGTTTTAATTTTTTCATAAAAGAGAGGAGTAGGCACAAGTACTTGTCATGATCGTTACTAACTAACTGCTAGATGTTTGTACCCTCGATCGTGTTTCGACTACTATGTGTTGGGTAGCTATCTAACTAAGATGATAACAATTAGTTGGTGCATTTTTTGTTATCCTTGATAACTATTAGCTAGTGGTTAACGTGCGATGATGCAGACGATGATGCGACATTGTTATATCACTATGATGATGATGAAGATGATGAGACATTGTTATATCACTATGATGATGAGACATTGGTGTATCATATAGTTTCGATGTTGTATGTATATGTTGGACCGTATAAAAACCTGTATAATTGTTGTATAAATATTGTGTAAATACGCAAAAGAAAAATAATATTGAAATTATTAGTAGCAGCGCAATTTTTATGGTTGTAGTATAGCGCAGGCACACGCTACCACTACACACATATAGTAGTAGTGCGGGCGCCACCGTGTTACTACTAAAAAATAGTAGTAGCGTGGGGTGGCACCTGCGCTACTCCTACCAGTTAGCTATAGCGTGGTACTAGTAGCACGGGCCCCCGCGTCACTACTAGGCATTTCCCTAGTAGTGTTCTCATTCGGCCACCCATCCTCAATTGCTCCAAACACGCTTAATTTTGAGACTCCTTTCGGATAAGCTCCCGGAAAATAAGGTGTACCTTGTTGATATGAATACCCTGTCGTTCCTATTAAGCCGGGATGTCACACTTGTGAGCCTCATCCCATTGTTCTTAATCTTCTTGGTTGGTGGAAGGTGCACGCTCCTACGTACCCAATGATGGCCAAGTTACCCAAGAGTTTGGCAGAGTGCTCTTGCTAGTTCTCATGGGGAAGTTCCTCTTGCACTCATTTGTGATATGTTAGAACGACTCATTTGTGTTATGTTTTTTAGATGAAACTTGGCATTGCAAGTTGTAACCGTGTCATTGATGGATGATACATAAGAACTCACCTTTGTGCATGTGAAAATTGTGTTGTTTGTACCTCTGTTTTTTTAGCGACCCAGAATTTACTACTTGGCCCGCACACGCTGTGCCCAGTGAAGTCAGCCCACTCATTTGCCTGCCCATGTAGCCTCGAAAATCCTATATCTCGCCCAGTGTGGTAGATAGTTAGAGTTCGCACAAGGCGCCCAATACTGGGCCGGCCCATAATGTTTTTCTGTCCAAATTTATTTTTATTTTTACCCTACTTTGTAATTCAAAAATTTCGAAAAATTTGAGAATTTGAGTTTTTGTCGGATTTCCGAAAAATGTTCGACATACAATATTGTCTTACCCTTTTCAAAAATGGTTGGAACATTAATTTATTTTCTCGTTCCAATTCTTTTCAAATTCAGAAGTATTCCAAAATTGTTTGGGATTTAAAAACATGTATTCTAAAAGTATTCAATATTTGAAATATATTATTGTTTTATTAAAATATTTACAGATCAAAATAATGTCTGCATTTAAAAACACATTTTTCTAAAATTGTTCTGAATGTTTGAAACATGTTCCGTTTTCAAAAGTCTGTCACAAATTAAGAAATGTGTAGGTTTTTATAAAAGGTTCATGTCTTCATAAAATGATGTTGTTTCGAAAAAATCATGTTTTTCCCAAAATGGACGAAATGTTAAAAACATTCTTTGTAATTTAAAAAATGTTCATGTTTTCAATAATATTCGGAAATTGATATTTTTGAAGAAGTTCAAAAAATTCAAATACGATGTTGCACCATGTTCTTAAATATCCGCGCTTGCCATTGTTAACAAGAGGCGTTTATTGTCATGCCTATCGCCACATGGTCAGGTAAGGTCAATCGTTCAGGGCATCATTTTTTTTAATTATTATTCGTGCCTTGCAAACACATGTTATTTCGGTGTCTGCCAATGGGCTGGCCCAGACTCGAATGTTGTGCATTCCACGCACTATTTGACACAACTAGCGTCATATAGTAGCTCCCACGCGTATAGGTTTTGTTTCGTCCATTCCACACATAGTTCCGCAAATTTTTCCGTCATCCCACGGGTGGGCCAAACTAGACCTATCATATATTTCTTTTTCTGTTGGACCGTAGAGCAACAAAAAATAAAGGGCGCGAGGGGATTGAAGTATGAACCTTCCCTATTGTATCGACGGATAAAACCAACTCGACTAGCTTGCAGTTACGATAGGAACAATCTCATCTTGGAATTTTATACTAAATCACACCAGTTTTTATATGTTCCTAAATTGTATGGAAATAAGGAGGTTGTGTGAGAATAAGGAAGTTCTCTCGAAAATCATGAACAGAACGAGGGACTCCAAAAATTATTGCCGGAGGTAACTTGCATATGTCAATAAAAGACAATATGTTGATTGGCTATAATGGAAATAAATTGGGCAAGTGCTAATAAAAGAGAATATGCTGGTTTTGCTCTAGTTAATAAAATTTATGGGCACATAAGGGCAAAAATAGTTGAAAGAATAACCCTTAGACAATGAAGGGACATTCATGGTTATGCGTTGATTATGCTAATGAAACATAATTTATGCGCCGCAATGAGTAATCCATCCGATTACCTCGTTGTAGAAGAAAGTGGTCGAAGCAACCATGCCTCAAAGATCGCCACGCAGCAACCAAATAAGGACACAACTACAACTCTGAGACGGAAGTGGACCCGGAGGAAAACAAGGTAACGGATGGGTGGTCACCATCACGCCGACCAACCCCACCACTATCAAGATCTCGCAGGGCAAACATGACCCGTGAGAAGACCGCAACTCCTTACTCTGTCGCCCACCGCCGTGGACACCGTTTTTGATGAACACATCGATTATCTTCACGCTGCTTGTTGAAAAAAAATTATATCCTCATTGCACGCACGGGCATATGTCCTTAGTTATATGACATATATGTTGCACTTTTGCTCCATTTATTGTACGCAATCAAAAGATGCCTAAACAGTAGCTAAAAAGGAGCTAAACACAGCCAAAAACGCGATACAGGAACATTCCTCCATTCGGTCCTGTCCACAGAAATGGAGGTTCGTATACATGGACTATAAAAAAGGTGAGATCCCTGGGAGGGGTGAAACCATCCTCCACATACCAGTACCATAGCACACGCTCAAAGCAAAGCACCCACCACCTTGAGCTTACCTCTAGCTAGGTAGCTAACCATGAAGCCATCCCGTGCAGCGGTTCTTGTGCTGGTAACGGCGCTTGTGCTGGCACTGCCGCTGGTGCCGGTGGCAGAGGCATCGTGCGACGCCGATCCAATCGGTCGTTCCTGTAGAGAAGGGGTCAATAATGGTAGTTTCAATGAGCCAGATTTTATCAAGCCGTGCTGCGTCTATTTATCAGGAGGCTACATCAGCTGCCTGTGTGAGATCCGTCTGCAGATCTCATTGAGTGCGCCGGGCCAGATCTTCTGCCCCAATATCCCATGTTGACACCAGCAGTGTAATATGTCCTCGTTCCCCTGCAGGCAGCTAGGTATAGAGTTTGTCTAGCTCACTAGCTGGAATAAGTAGCAACATCTTTCGAGCGGTGCATGGATTTGATGTTTAGTCCCAGGCCGGTTATGTTTGTTTGTGTCCACCTCTATAATTATCACTGCTTTTCTTATCTTATACTCAATCCTATTATCTCGTATTGTCTTGTTTGCTCTTACTCTTACTCCTGCAAGTTCAAATTGTTCAATAATCTTAGTGATCTAAACGATCTTATATTTCTTAGGGAGAGAGTATAAAATATAATGCACGCGTATGTGTTCCTTGGTTATTTTGTTTTTCTCTTCTCGACCCGCCATGCATGCATGCATGCAACATCCTCTAGTCCATGTATCTAGATCATAATGGAAGCAACTAAGGGATCCCTAAATCTCAGTCAACCAAGTCCCAGTCGATGCTATATTCGCGAGAACTGACGTGGAGACCCATGCAAAAAAAATCTTTTCTTTTAATGTGGTATGCCACTTGACTGAGACTTGGTTAACTCTCAATCGACTGGGATGTAGCCACACCCAAGCAATTAACTTAACAGACAAGAACTCCCAAGTTTGTGCGGGTGTCACTGCTGTTTATCTGAACCAAATCAATCCGCTCATATATGGGTTGGTCCGGTATTTCAATGATCTTTCTTAATTAAGAAGTGTGCTCGAAGAATAAAAATTGTTTGAAAACAAAAAGATACAACACATCCTTGAAGGCAAAATCTATATAGTTGGAATACCGCTAGACAAAACCCTAAAAGTGTTTATTTCTGTACTCTCTAAAGCATCTACTTTCACTAACCTTCCCACTTCTTCTGAAAGATGACAGAAAAATGCATCCCCACTTCAGGATAGAGATGCCAACACTAGAATAGTACAGACGGCTATTCTTTTTAGGGGACTTCACCAGACTCTATTGACTAACGGTGATGTTCACAGGGATTATTACAGAATCATGCGGCACTTTCCAAAGCAAACATCACGGCCTACATTAAGAGAAATAGAAAATTTCGCTAAAATATCTGCTTCGTTGTTACACTTCTTAAAACATGGCACCTCCCATTGTTAGGGTTAGAAGGGAGAGAGAGGTTTGGTGGAATAGTTTGTTGTATTGCTTAAGCCTCGTGGGCATATATATATATATAGGAGTACAATGATCTACTTGCAGTACAAGACAAGCCAGAACAAATCCTAGTCTCCCTCGTCTTTCCTAATAAACATTATACTCAACATCCCCCGCAGTCACAACGGTAGCGACGCAGACGGTGAGACTGGAAAAGAATCCGAAGGCAAGCCGACGACTCCCCCCACAGTCGTAACGGTCGATGCATCGCGGAGTCGTGGCTGGAGTGTAAACCGACGAAGTTGCTCAAGCAAGGCGGTAGCCCTTTGTGCCGTTTGTCGAGGTAGCCGAGAGCGTGGGTGATGGAGCCGTGGTCGAGGTAGTCGTACGAAAAATGTTGTGGTCAAGGTCGAGTCGGGGTGGCCGGTGTCGAGGAAATCGCCGTGGAGCCACGGGCGCAAGGGGGCGCCGAGTTAGCATGTGCGTAGTGGTGTCGAAGTAGTGGTGCGTCGGGAAGAAGATGTGGTTGACGACACGTTGCGGTGGGTTTGCCAAGCACGGGGACACATCATGGACGAAGGCACGCATCGGTGTTGCCAGCACCGCGGATTCGTAGACGGACGAAGACGAAGTTGATGAAGCGCCGACCAGCTGGCTTGCCAGGCCAGGGGACACGTCATGGATGAAGGCACGCATCGGTGTTGCCAGCACCGGGCATGCATAGACGAGGGACTTGCACGAGCTGTACGCCATGTCGGAGAAGTCACAGAGGCCAGTAGAGAAGAACTTGACGACGATTGCGGCGTCCATCGGCGTGGGGCCAATGTCACCAACGGTGGTCGGAGTAGACGAAGTGGTCGGGGTAGATGATTGCGATGCTGACGATGAGCCGGTGCTGGACGAAGCCGAAGGAGGTAGCCAAAGAAGAGCGGCGGCTAGGTTAGGGGCGCGGCGGCGACGCTCGAAGTAGGCGAAGAACCCTTACAACGTGACGAAGACCGGTGTCGACGGTGGCATTCCCGCACCAAGGGAGAAGACGCGACGCATACGAGGGAGGTTGACGCGCGGTGACGGTGGAGTGGACCGCGGGCTGCGGCGCTACGTCCCGAAGGGGCGATGCAGCGGCGGCGGGCAGGTCGGAGCGACGGCTGGAAGACCTTGGGGTGGCGGCGGGACCGCGGGTTGTGGGGCTACGGCCCGAAGGGCCGGTGCAGCGGCGGAGCGCGGGTCGGTGCAACCGCGGGGACGGCCTCGGGGCGGCGGCTGGGACCGCGTATAGAGGCACTATGGCCCGTTGAGGCGACACAGCAGGGACGCACAAGTTGATGCAGCCGCGAGGAGAACCATGTGGCACCGGCCCTGCGGCCCGACGAGGCGACGCAACGGCAGCCCGTTGCTCGATCGGCGGAGGGGCGCGCTGAACTCGGGGACGATCTTCACGGGACCTGCGGAGGTGCGCGCAACCGACGGGCCAGGTTGGTCGCGCGGCGTAGATGAGGCGGATCGCGGCGGCGAGCGGGTGATCAAGCCGATCGCGCACGAGGTCGGGGACGCCGCTCGATGGAGGCGTGGTGGCGACGGAGTCCTAGATGAGGCCGGCGTCGACGGACGGTGTGGGACGTCGTGCGGACGAGTGTGTCAGCACCGGCACTCGGGCTGCCAAAGCAGCGTCGGCGCCCGGGCAATGAGGTCCCAGCGACCAACGGAGCCCGAGTTGAGGCATCCTACATGCATGACGCAGCCGTCCCGACACAACCGAGGATGAGGCCGGCGAGGTAGACCGCCGGGCCGCCGTGCAGACGCGGCGGAGGCGGGTGGCTATGATTGACCGCCGCATGGCGCGAGGCCGCCGGATGGAGGCGATGCAGATTTTCCAGTCGGAGCAGGGCAGTGACGGCCGGTGCAGGTCGACGGGCGGACCGACGCGCGGACGGCGGCTAGCCTTCACGAGCCACCTTGGCGCGTGTGGATGCCAGGTCGGAGGAAAGGAATGAAAACGCCGATCAAAACGACCGGCAAGAGAGCGAAAACCCCGAAGCAAGGGCTCGGAAAAAAGACTTTTTAGGGCAGCCGGCCAACACGGCCGGCGGACGTACCCTAGTTACGGGCGGCGCGGCCCCCGGCGGCGGTCATGGAGGTCGACCGCTCCAGAGGCGGCGCGCAGGTGCGGAAGCGGCGGTGGCTAGGGTTTAGAATCGACTTGCTATAGATACCATATTAGAAGGGAGAGAGAGGTTTGGTGGAATAGTTCGTTGTATTGATTGAGCCTCGTGGTCATATATATAAAAGTACAATGATTTATTTAAAGTACAAAACAAGTCAGAACAAATTCTAATCTATCTCGTCTTTCGTAATAAATATTATACTCAACAGTTAGTCTTGCCACGAACTTACAGACACCAACAACCAACAAAACAGAGCTCCTTGTATAAACTAATTTGAACTTTTACAAACTTTGAAGAAAATAGTTCTAATCCATAAAACAATCATTTTCAGCGAAGAAGTATATTGCTCTTCTGGTTCCGGCCTCTGAACCAAATTGTAGAAACATCTTATAAGGAATTTCCATTTCCAAAAATCTTATAAGGAATTTGGTATGGGAGCAAATTAAAAATACATAAATAGAAAGCACGTTTCACTGCAAAACCATGCGTAATTAATTTCTGGATTAAGATTCAACCAATCATCAGAACAGCGACGAGAGATGCTCAGCGGAATCAGAAAGTCTCTGCTGATGACACGATCGTCACTAGTTGTTGATAAGTTGTTTCTACGTACATGCTTGAAGAGTCGACACTAAATGTAATCTTTTCTAAGAAATGCAGTTCACCATTGGTTCATCCGAACCCTACAGGAAAATGAGTACCTATTTATAGGTATATTGTGAGACTGTGAGTGTTGGTTATTTTTCTAACGTGAATTGCGTAGCTACAAATTTGATTAATGGGGAGCAACTTACTCGACTAAAAAATAATTATTTCTCACACGACTTAGAAACTCTCCTTATTGTGAGGCTGTTTACACATGACTGATTCACTAATTTATTTGTGTAGCAACACCCGATCGGTGGAGCCTTTTTTGGAGTCACTTAGTGGTACGTACGCTGCACCACCGTCTCTTTTCGGTGCACCATCGTGACCCATTGCCACACCTGGTGGTCGGTTTGTCGCCAACTACGGCCAGGTTCCTCCTGCAAGAATACAACTCTGAGCTCGCCTGCCACCACCCGCACCATCATCCGCAGGTATACTGCCTAGGACTACCCCAATATGGTCTGACCCCCCGTGCAACCCACACTAGCGCCGCCTACGCGGGATGTGCCTCGGTGAGCTCTTCTATGATTCACGCCTACCCAGCTATCAGCTATGAGCACGTCCACCGCGCAAAGGTGCGGGCACTTCTCTGCAGTCTGCATATAGATGACTACTGGCGGGTGGCCGCGAGTCTGGCGTGGTGGTAGTCTCGCGCATGATGCATGTTCAGAATTTGGCCAATCTTCACAAATGGGCAATCCATATTGTTTGTTTCTTGATGCCTCCTAATCCGGCAGACTAAGGCATAACCTAGTGGTGTGAAGGGGCTGATGCCTTTCCACTCACCCAGCTTCAAGACATGGTACTTGCAATTTGGATTTGTTACACCAATTATATTGTAGGGGTTTCCTTACAGTCTTTCTGTCAAAAAAATGCCTCCTAATCCGTAATATATATATATATATATATATTGATCTATGAGAGAGAGGCACACGACACAGAAGTGATCGATGTGAAATATTATACTAAACTTAAGACTAGGAGCCAAGGACGGGAATTACAGGGGAGCACCTAGGTGCTCCACCCACCCACATCACCACCGTTGCACCACATATAGATTCGGATCACTTGTGTTAGATGCGA